TTTTTTTGTTTTTTTTTGTGTTTGTTTTTGTGTGTGTGTGTGTGTGTTTTGTAATGAAAAGTATTTAAGAAAATAAGTTGTGTCAAAAGAAACTGTAGTTGAAAAACTATGGGAACCAGTCCTACAGTACTAGGTTTCATCATCAAAACTGCTATTGAAAGTTTTGTAGGATTTGAAAGTCTCTATTGAGCCTCCTTCTTTTCTTGACATTGAGGATCATTCTCCCAGCTGAAGGAACGTTCTTCCAGCACAAGACATGTGAACTCTTCTAGGCATTCGGTACATCCAGGGATCGATAAATTTCCAGCATACCAGGCTTCACGCCAGCTTTACCCGGGCTCCGTAAGAGTGCCTTTAGGGGCCAACCTCTTCAGGGAATATAGTGGAGTCAATGTAGGAAATTTACTTGCAGCATTCAAGTCACTTGCTGCCCACTCTGTGCTTTAAATCATTGGGGATCAATAAAGAAGTCAAAAACTGGAAGATTGAAGTTGGCAGAAGAACCAGGTTTCTTCTGAACTGACCTTGGTTTAGGGAGAAACCAAAGCAATTACCTTAGCATCCTTGCCATCATGTGCTACTTCAAAACATCTGCCCTTCTGCTCTTACAGAGCCAAGCGTCGCAGGTTTTGGCACGTTTGTAGAGGTTTCCCACTACTTAACACTTAGTACTTTAAAAAGTTCCCAAGGAACAGGCCCAGATTCCTGAATTTGCCTCATGGTGGCCTCCTGGCCTAGGCAATGTATTGGGTCACTGGAAAAGTCATGGCACATTTTTGCATGGAAAAACACATCATGACTTTTCCAATGACCCAAGAGCACAAAGGAAGGGAAAGTCTGTGTAAAAACAAGTTGGAATTTGTAAAAATGTAGTTCGAGGACTGAAGGATCTTTGGTGGAAAAAAGAAAATTGGAAGACACGGACTAAAATTCATCTTAAGAAGAGTTTAAGAAGCCAAGAAGGGAAAAAAGAAAATTAAGAGACAAACATTAAGAGCAAAAGATAGGGAGAATTCGGACTCCTCTCCCCTATTTCTTTGAGCCTAAGATGCCCTCTGTGGTGCCCTAGGCTTCGAAGTACAAGTCTTCCCTGAACCTACCTCCTGTGGGAGCCCGCCTCCAGCGGCAGGATGGAGGGATCATAACCTCTCTAGAGCAGCTTCATGAGAAAATCAACGAGATGAGGAACGTGTTCAACTCGCTGGAGAACAAGGTAGACACCTGTTTCTAATCCTTGGGGAGGGCCGGGGGCTGCTAAGGAGAGAGCAGAGAAAAGATGTGAAGACCGTGTCTTCAGAGTACTTTTTATTCACAAGGGAGGGTCAGGTTAGTACTGAAAAACCAATCCGTAGTAGCTAATGATACTAAGAGTCCTAAGCATCTTAAAAGTGGCATGGCATCTTACAAGGGCTCTTCTCCCTAGCTACTGAGTGGTTATGAAGCTGTTTATACAACAATGGCAGATACCCAACGGGGCTCAAAGTAATACATGGGGAGAAAGCCAACTCATAGCTCAAAATACAAGGGCTCTTCAAAAAGTTTGCAGAGAATCTGTATTATGAAAAAACTATGCTGGATCTCAAATATTATTATTATTATGATGATGATCATCATTGTCATTATCTTTGCTCCAAAGTAAGGTCATACTTTAAATCCATTTTCCACAAACTTTTTTTTTTTTTTGGAGAGATTTTCACTGTAGGGCACGTGCGCTCGCCAGACAGAGAGAGAGAGACATAGAGACAGAAAGCGAGAAATTATCCCCCAGGGGGGATGGTCACGCCGCAATCCCTTCTCCTCCATTCTCCTCTCGGGATCTTGGGCACGCATGCACACGCGCCCGGCATGAGTTTTAAGCCACCGGGTCCGGGACGTGAACCGCGGTCGACTACGTGGGAGTCCAGCGACATAGCCATTACGCTAACTGCTGGTTCCCAATTTTCCACAAGCTTTTTGAAGTTTCCTTGTAGAGTCAGAATTCTAAATCCCTATATATCCTAACTGGTAAGGGACATTTTAATAGCTTTTAATGTGTTGAGAGTTGGGGTTCTACAGGTGAGCAAAATTCTTTTGTCTTGGGCTCTTTTTGCTGCCTTTTGGCCTTTGGGAGATAATCCACATACCCTATGGGAGCAGTGATAATGAAACCTATTTCTGTCGGACAGAGGTTCCTTTTGTATTCCAACCAGGAAACCTGAGTGCAGATCAGGCTTCCTTTCTCCAGTTTGAAAATGTATATAATTTTGCTTTGATTTTATTTAGTCATCAGTTTTATTTTTCTCACAGAGGATGAATTTACAAAATAGAAGTTACCAGATCAGAAAGCAGTTGATCTGGTGATTTAACCTATCATGATGACTGAACTAGGATCTGTGCTAAAATCCATCACGAAGATTCAGTATAATTAAAAATGATTGAAATGAAAAACAGATTGCTCATGGCACTTCCCACTGTCCTAGCCTCAGACACTTGACAGGTCTTCCTTTTTGCCTCAAAATGACCTCGTTTATTATTTATTCCTACTCTTAGCCCTAGAAAGAAATCCCTATATTTAAAAAAATTTTAAATTCTATATTTAAAAAATGTATAGGAGTCATTTTATAGTGGAGGTGCCATTGCAAGTTGGAAACATTGGGATGACCTGATTCTGAATATGCTTAGAAATACACATTTGAAGAAATTTATTAAGAGACCTGGATGTTAGTTTTCATTGCTTTAGAATAAGAATACTGGGGCCCAGCAGGTAGCATGGTGATTAAGACACTGAACTCTATCATGGCCAACTGTGGTTTGAGTCCTGGACCTGGAGTATTGAAAATCATACCAGGCATTTGTGCATGCCTGCCTAAAATCCCAAGAAGAGAATGGAGGACAAGGGATTGTGGTGTGGCCATCCCTCCTGGTGGGTGATTTCTCACTTTCCCTCTCTCTGATTCTGTCTCCTCTCAGCGACAGTACAGGCCCTATGGCAAAAACCAAAAACTAACTAACTTACTAACTAAAGATAAGAATACTGGGTAGTTGTTTTGTTTTGTTTTGTTTTAAGACAGGGTCTCACTATGTTATGATCCTCCTACCTTAATTTCCCAAGTTGGTGGGACCACGTACCACCATGTTCAGCTTTTAGGGTGGACTTAGAATGGAACCAGGCTTCCCTTGTAGCTTCAACCTGCTCAGCAGTAGCATCTACCACTTTCTAAATAGTTCTATTTTATTTATTTTTTTTAGAGAGATTTTTGCTATAGGACACATGCGCTCTCTGGAGAGACAGAGATGGAAAGCGAGGAATCACTCCCCAGGGGGGATAACCACACCATAATCCCTTCTCTTTCATTCTCCTCTTGGGATTTTGGGAATGCACATTTGCCAGGTGTGAATTTCAAGCCTCCAGGTCCAGGACTTGAAGCACAGTTGACTATGTGAGAGTCTAGTGACATAACCTGAACAGTGGTTGACTATGTGGGGGTCTAGCGATGTAACCATTATGCCATATACTGGTCCCAATAGTTCTCTTTTAAAGAGAGATATGAAACTAGGGATTCCTCCACTTAGCAGAATGTAAGACCATAAATGTCAAGAAAGTAATGTTATTATTACTTTAATGTTATTGTTATATTTACTTACTGTCTGTTGAAATGTTTTCATTTATTTGTTCAATAAATAAAAGTACTCCATTTTCTTCACGTTTATGTCTGTGCTTAACTTTCTGATTTGCCATCTAAAGGGGGGAGGAGAATGAGAATTCTTTAAATGCTTATGTTCCAAGCATGTGCTCTGGTAGATATCTTATCTACCCTTACTCATTTAATTCTCAAGACAGCCCTGTGAAATAGATACTATTAGAGCTGTTTTATGGATGAGGAAACTGTTGGGTTGTCAGAAAACTCATGACATATTTTTCTAGCAAAAAGAGGTTAATAACTTGTCTAAGATCTTAGCACTCGAAGAGGGAGTTAGAATTTGTACCTTATTTGACTCCAAAATTGACACCTCTTTGATGGTGTGGAAGTTGATGATGGAAGTCCAGTGCAAGTGCCCCAATGTGACCAGACTGGCCTGCTAAAGATGATTCATGTCACCGTCAACACCATGCTGAGCGCCTATCATGGTGGAGATTTTCGTGCCTTCCTTATGGACTAACACCCACTGCCATTGAAAATACCATTGCTTCCTCTTCCATGACATTATCCAAGAATCTATACAGATTTTTTTTAAATAACTTCTTCTTTCAAAGAAATGATCGATTATGTTTAGTTATATTCTTTCAATCTTTTTTTTTAAGGATAAAGGATTCTTTGTCTTCATATCACTTCTTTCACAGAATTCAGAGTTACTCAATCAAGATCGTCTCACATTCATATGTTGCTTTTCAACTAAATTTCATTTTAATCAAAAGTTTTCAAATAAATAATAGTTTTCAGGAGCACTCGTAAACATAAATTTTTTTGCTTTCTTGTCAAGCGTCAGTATGTTCTGTGTAAAGAAGACACTCGTTCTCTAGGTGAATGGGGCAAAGTGTACCTTTACTTGTTCAAACTTAAATTTATAGTCCCATGCCACCTAAGGACATTTCTGTCAACCTCAGACTGCATATCTATTGCCCATAAGGAGCAAAATGCTGTACGATGTAGTCTAGACGTATAGGAGAGTATACCATCTTGGTTTTCCTAAGCACACTCTATGATGTGTGCACAATGACAAAATCACCTAGTGACACATTTTTTCAGAGCATATACCCACTGGTGAGTGGCCAGATGACTGTCCTAGTAGATGAGATCCATAGATTTACAGCAGCCTGCTTTCTCAAACAAAAGAAAAATTCAAGGGGCCAGTGGTGCCTTTTATAATCATTTATAGCAAATCAGATTCACTTTTCATTTATTATTTAGTTGCAGGCCCTAGCCTCTGAACTCAAAACTGGTTTTACAGAAGCGATGCAAGAACTGTCAAGAATTCAACATGGAGAATATGCTTTGGAAGAGAAGGTTAAGAGCTGCAGATGTTCCATGGAAGAAAAAGTTACTGAGATGAAGAACTCATTGAACTATTTCAAGGTAGGCCCTCATCTG